ACACACACACACACACACACACACACACACACACACACACACACACACACACACACACACACACACACACACACACACACACACACCACACATATATATATATATATATATATATTATATATATATATATATATATATATATATATATATATATATATATATATATTGTTTCTTTTCATTGATCCATTTGAAGAAAATATATTAGCTTAAATCACTCACAAAAACAAATATGAATCAACGCATATTTGTTTTTGTGAGTGATTTAAGCTAATATATTTTCTTTTTAAATTATAATGCATATTGAGTCACAAAATGAATCGCTTATTTCCAAAATGAAGTCTATAGTCGTTTTTATCAATTCCTAAATTACCGAATGAATCCGATGGTAGTTTTGTGAAGTAAAGACTTCTTCAGGCAGTTTTCGCACTTTTTTGTGGAGAGTGAATTAGATTGATCCGTCAGATTTCCGAAGTATTAACGCTCGGATAAAGTCGGCTAGAGTCGACTAATTGAAATGTTTTTACAATTAATTGATTAAAATATCTCAGAAACTAATTATCGGACCTGAATACGGCAAGTGAAGAAATTGTTCAGCATTTCATCCTCTCTGTAATAAGCTATAATTTATAATTGTATCTTAACGCGACGCTGTGTTAGGGAGGCGAAAAGGAAAAATAATTTCGAAAACCAAATGATAACTAGTTTAGTTGAACATATGGATTAAAATATTTCAGATACTAAAAAGCTGACCTGTATATTGTAAGAGAAGGAAATGTTCAGCATTTTATCTCCTTAGTAATGAGCTATTATTTAAAAATTGTACTTTAACGAGTTTTATGGAAGATATGGGCTAAAATATCTCAAAAACTAAATGTCGGACCTGCATACTGTAAGCGAGAGAAATGTTCAGTATTTCACCCTTTTTAATGAGCTACAATTTATAATTTCTATTTTATATTATTTATCTTTTTACTTCTATCGTGTGGTCTAAATCACACACCTTAGTTTTTTTTTTTTTTTTTTTAAACGACGCTTAGTATAAAAACACACAACTTTCATTTACTGCTCTACTTTGAATATAAATTATTGTCTGGCAATGTTGGACAATTATAAAATCTTTGAAGTGCATTTTAAGCGGAGCTAAAGCTTAAATCTTACAGATAACAAATCATTAAGACCATTAAAGTTACAAAAGGTCTATTTGTTATATCGACGGTAGGCAATAAAAATCTAGTTATTCCATCTCCTTTTATAAACCACACAACTTTCTTTGCTTTTATAAATCACAGAATGGCTAACTCCAATTTCAACATTTTTGAGTAATGATAATTTAGTGATATTTTAGTTGAAAAGGTTATCTATGCAGACAGTGAGTAAGTTGATTCCAGAGTAAATGATTGCAGTGTTGAAATATAGAACTGCGAATAAAGGTATAAATTTTGCGACAAGAAACATCACTAAAATTAATAATAAGATTAAGAATTTTGAAATTGGAGTTAGTCACAATGTCAAACGAAAGGCTCATATATGCGTAGAGAGGTTTGAAAGTACATCTGAATATTTAACAAATAAATGATTAGGACTATTAGTTATTGAACTGTTATTTTACATTGTAAAGTTTACTAAAATCATATTACGAGATTTTCATTGCCTACCATGGATGGGTCAAGAGTTGTCACACTAATTGTAAGTGGATAATGTTGGGACTTCACAAAGGGAAAATTCATCAAATTATTCACTAATTTAATTTCCTAAAAGGTTACTTGATGATTTTTTTGAAAAAACAGCCAATAGATACCTAATTATCTAAATATAATATCATATCTAGAGTTATTTAACTTCAGTAAATGTATTTTAGGTTATAAACATAAGCTTTATACATCCATAAAATATTTTTATATTTCATTTCTTCGTTCACATAAGTAGTATGAAATAGATGTTTAAACAATGCAATTGCCTTGAATCGGTGGGTTTAAGTACAACGAAATAGTATTTTAAATGATTGCATTGGCATAATTCGGTGGATTTAAAGTAATGTTTTCTCAAAATTAAAAAAAATTAAAAGTTCTCATTAAGAAAATTTCATTTAATTTTATTGGTAACATGTGATTTACGTTAAATATTAATTTTTTGAAATAATTATTTATATTTTTTTCGTCACTCTGCGTTATCTTGTACAACTTTGTTTATTTAATACTATTTTTTACAAAATTCTCTGCTTTCCTATGATACGTATACCTTCTGTTATTTCCGGAGATTCATTTTCAACCAGAATAAGCATTTTTCTTTTTGTCTCCAGTTTCCAATTATCATATTCTTTCAAACTTCATATATAGCCTTTTTTTTATAGTTACTGTCAATAAAAGGGAGTTTTTTTTTTTTTTTAATAAACCATATTAAAGGTACTTTAGAGGAAACGCATATGAACATTGGGCATTTAAACCCTGCAAAGTGACATCAACGGGGATATGTCCTAAATGATATTAAAGACCACTTAATTATACAATTATACACCGAGTTTAATCAAAATCGTTAGAGCCGTTTTTGAGAAAATTGTAAAAATGTATTTCAACGTTGATATAAAGTTGCACTTCCGGTTAGCCGATTTCAATGAAAAAGTTGCTGTGACATCTAAGGCATATACCTATCTTAAATACGTAATATCAGTTTCGCACGACTTTTCGTTTTTTAGATAGCCTGTTCACATACACACACACACACACACACACACACACACACACACAAACAGACACACACACACACACACAAACAGAGACACACACACACACACACACACACACACACACACACACACACACACACACACACACACACACACACATACACACACACACACACAGGCGGATATACGGGGCGGGGACTTTCCGGCTGAAGCCTCCCCTCTCCCCAAATGGTAAAATATAACCATGTTTAAAGAAAAAAATATCTCTAAAAGTATTATTGTTCGTCTAATTACATTTAATAAGACTAAAAGAATCACTTAAACACCATTTCATACAGGTAGTTTCTTTCTTTCTTTCGAAGTAATTATCCTAATATATACATACAAAAGAAATCATTCGGACTGAAGCCCCCCCCCCAAAATTAAATCCTGGATCCGTTAGTGCACACACACACGCACACACAGACCATTTTATGGGACTTGGTTATTTGGACTCAGGAGACCTCAAAACATCTTAATTCCGTTGAAAACTCAGATTTGAAAATTTTCACGATCGCAATACTCCCTCTTACTATATATATCTCATATATAGATAAGTGAAAGTAAAAAAGTAGTGCGAAAATAATTTCGTTTCCGAATTTGATTTTGTGTGTGTGTTTTTTTCTGAGGAATGTAATGGAATTTAACTTATCAATTATTCTTTAAAAAATAATTCATCAAAATTATTATTGTAAATGCCAATGAAATTCGTAACTATGCGCAACCAGTAAAAAATCTATATAGTTTTTCGCGATTGACGAAAAATTGGCAAATATTATTAGAGCTCACTTTGGGAATAAACGACTCGAATTGATGAAATTCATTCGGACAATGTTTAAAGTTAAATCATTTGGCCCAGCGGAACTTTAATTACAAATTGAATAAAATAATTTATTCACGATTATTAAATTATTTTAAAAGTATACCCAGGAATTAGTTATAAAGCGCCAGTTCATAAGATGGAATTTGCATTCCCATTTTTTTAAAAATAATTGAAACACAATTAATATTTTATGTTTAAAAACTTGTTTTTAAACAATTTAAATAAATTGATTTATTCCAAATATATATATTAGAACGTCAATTAGATAGGAATTAGTTAATCCATTTATCCTTTTGAAATCTTTTTTATTTAGTAGTAATTACTTATTGAAATTTAATAAATTTATTTTCTGTCGGATCGATGCTATTAAGTAAAATTGAAATGAAAATTACATAATAATTTTTAAAAAGTTGATTTGTTTTAACATTTGCGGTATTATTATAAATAAATTATTCAAACTGAAATTTCACTATAGCCATTCTGCGAACTTAATATCAAAAGGGTGGCCATAAATAGCAAAAATAGTGTGTGGAATTAAAATGAATAAATATCAAGTTTTTAAATGACTAATAGCACTAGAAATTTTTGTTTGCTAATTTATTTTTTTTTAAATTATTTATTTTTAAATATATATTGTTTTTGTTTCTTTTATACCAAATCTAGGTAGTATTTTAAATGAAATATTTTAATCTAAAATAAATTGTTTGTAACTGTAATTTATTTTGTATTTTCTGTTCCATCTGAAAATCTTCTGAAATTTTTCAAAGGTCGATTACGCTAAATATATAATACAATTATCTTTGGGTAATATAAAATTTATCAGCGTTAAAAATATTATTAAGATCTCCAGGGTCTTATCATAGGCAAGGATGGAAGGGCATATATTTTGTTAAAGATTTTTAGTAATGAAAAAACGTCTTTTTTTAAACGATTCAATTTATTTAATACCTTGTGTCACTACACTTTTTGTAAAAGTGTCACTTTTATTATAAATTGAATAAAATAATTTATTTCTAATTAAAAATTATATCGAGAAATTAGTTGTAAAACGCCATTTCATGAGACGTATTTTGTATTTGTTTGGTTTTTGGTAATTAAAATAAATAGTACTTTTATTTTTTTTATGTTTGAAATAATTTTTGCTAAGATCTGTTTTATACACTGCGTATTTATTTGCTCTAGCGTTTTACAGTCAATGCCTTGATCCCGGCTAGGACGGATAAGCGAGGTTACGCTGTAGTTATCGAGCGAGTCTAATGCATTTATTGAAAGCTAGAATACGAAGCTAAATTCCATCTACCTGATACACTGCTCTAAGAAATTCCCGATCGGTTATCTATGTAATCACTGCGCCATAATTGAATATTTATCTATCACACAACCGAAACTTTGACAAGCTATCGAATTTCCTATCAAAAGGATACATTTTGTTTACTAAAGTTGGTGGTTACTTACCGCGTCGGCAGTGGACGGGAAGACGAAGACGTTGGTTAGAAGGAAGAGGGCCAACATGCCGTCCGAAGAGGTCGGGTGCTGGCGTACCAATGGTCTGTACCGGGATAGTTAGGGATGGTGGGGGGGCCCCTGCCTGCGGTGAGCGGTGGGCGCACTTCCATCTGGACCATGGTTCCTAGAGGCGGCTTCCTCCTCGTCGTCTTACTCTGTCGTATTAACGTATCTCTTCAAGCGGTGAGTACAACATATTATTCCTATTCTCTGGAGCGATGGTGAGGGCTAAAGGTTGCATTTTTGGAAGGGTCCATGTCGGTTAATATGGAGTTACATAGTACATCTCATATGCTTATGAGACAACTGACTGCAATAAAAACAGGGTGCAAACAACCCAAAAACATGATGTTTTTTTTTTGCTCATACGAAAATTAAACTCCAAGTTCTAGATGTATTGAAGTCACTAGTTATTACCCTTGAATGTTTTAAGTCGATCACCTGTTGTGTTTGTTAGATTGCGGTCTCAATATGAGGACTACCTAAAATGTCGATACCCCCCTCCCACCAAAGATCGAAATGGTTCCATTTATCCCTAACAATATCTTAGGGATCATATCGATATATTGTAAATGCGTAAGATTAAGTAAATTTAGTAAGATTAGTAAGGGTATACCCCGGTGAGGACACTAACTCCCTCAACCGGTGAGTACAGAATTCTTTGGTAACACTGTCTACTAACAGTCTGCGTAACCTCCTCAAATCAATTATAGTTCATTTATAATTATTTCATGTTCAATGATTTAATGTTTTTCCTTTAAAGTTTATTTTAGAAGTGAATCAAAGCCTTCCTTAAATGTTCTGGTGTTGTTTCTTGAATTGATTAATTATTAAAACAATTTTATTCATATACTCGAAAGCAATAACGCCGGTTAAAGATAACATGCGTGGGAGGAAGCATCCCGGTCTTCTTTAATTAATATGGAGGTTTTTATAGTATATAGGTATCTGTACAAAAAACAGCTGACTAGAACAGAAAGGGGGCAAACAACTCAAACAAAGTCGTCCATAGATTTATGAAAAGTAATGGAAGGACCATACTAAAAGATGAAGGAGTAGGCATGTTGATGAAGGGTAATGATGTTGTTTGCAATATATCCCATACGAAATATATGAAATATTCCTATATGAACAATTAATATCTTAGGGTGGTATTAACTTGGTTCAAGCCCTTCCTCATGAGAAAAAAGTGTTGTCACACAAAATACTTTAAACTAAAACAGGTCAGTATTTTAATTGTTGATTTCCTTTGCAGTTTAGTTGAATTTATGAATTCGAAAAAGGACACGGTTAAACAAATTCCACTATATAAAAATTGTAATGTACACGATAATTATGTTCATTAAGTTCATAGTATAGGAATTTGTTGGAGGAGGAGGGGGGAGAGGGTAGCTGAGCTCCCATCCCCTCAGCATTGGGGGGAGGGGAGGCTCAAGCCCCCTCAAGTTAAAAAGAAAATTACATTATCAGAATTCTAGTTGCATTGTAGCAACCATTGCCAGTTGATCAGCTGTTGTGTCTGTTAGTTTAGTCTCCGAATAAGATCTAAAACTTACACAAAACAGAGAAAAAAGGTGGTCTACAAAAATGTTGTGCCCTTCGCCGTGTTCTTCCACCCCCTTCATGTCAAAATAACGAGGTTATATATGCCCAAACAATATTTTTGTAGACCACCTTGTTTCCCGATTTTGATTTGATTACATTACGATTCAAGTGAAAAGCAAATTAGATTTTTTTAATTCATCTCTGTTTCATAGAAAACTTTTTAGTCTATGTCATATTTAATTTTAGTATTAGGAGAGTAAGAGGTTACAGGAGCTCTCCTATTAGCTCTATAATTAACACTAATTACAGAGCTATTAATTTAATTACATATGTGTTAAGCTCCTTATAAGCTCCTACTACCCTAATATAAACTAGAGATTTACTCCCTGGTGTCTTCGTTAGCGTATTAAGCTCCTGTTATCTAATACCTTCCTCATACAAAATGAAGATTTTAGAATAAAAATCTGTTTGGCAAATCGTAGCTATTCATCTGGAGGTGGTAGTTTGATTTTACCGATGCAACTGCAGTTATTTTTCGATCTACACATTTTCCCTTGAATACAATATATTAATTATTATAATATATTGCGATATAATTATAATTATTATGAAATAGAAAAGTAATCACAATGTAACGAACAAAGAAAATTTTAGAAATAAAAGGTTTAAATTATTGTTTGGCTTTTATGAATCTGGACAATTAAAATTACAATACAAATTGGTAATAAGAATAATTATAATTGTAGAAGAATATAAATTGGCTATAAGGCACGATGCATAATATATATTTTTAAAGAAATTAAAAATTTGTCCGAACCGTGGTTTCGTTAAGTTCATTGGTCTGCCGTTAGGTGGACCCTCTAGTTAATTTATTTAATGTAATAATTAAATTTCTGAAACAAAATTCCCCATCGTTGAAAAAAAAGCTGTAGGCTACAAAATAGGAAAAGCCATATACGAACTTTTAAACGGATGTTAATTTAAAGTTTCTGCAATTATTTCTTGAATAAATTAATTATCATAACAATTTATTCATATCCTCGCGGTTAATAACGCAAACTGAAGCTTAACTGCATGAAAGGAGGAATGGCGGTTATCTTTACTTAATTATAGTATTTGACAACATTGTATGAGTTTTTACTTTCACTTAACTATGTATGTAATGTTTTTAATGAAAATGCTCGTTTTGAGGTCCTGCAAAATGGTCTTTGTGTATGTTATCAATCTAGCTCAAAAACGAAAATCGTACGAAAGGAATACGAATTGTATATTTAAGATTTTCATATACCTCAGATGTTACAGACTCTTTCTTGTCAAAACCGGCAAACCAGAAGTGGCACTTTTTATAATCGCATAAACACATTTTTACAAATTCTCAAAAACGACTCTAACGATTTTGATTAAACTCGGTGGATCACTGTACACTTAAGTGATATTTAATATCATTGAGGTCTGATCCCCATTGACGCCATTTTACAAAGCTTAAATGCCAATGTTCTTATACGTCTTCCTCTAAAATACCTTTAATTTGGTTTATTTTAAATAATTAACCATCTCTAATTATTAAGAGTTACGGAAAAATGCTAAATATAACTTTAGAAAGAATTTGATTATTAATAAAGGAGAAAAATGCTTATCCAGGTTGAAAATGAATCTCTGGAAATAATAGTATACGTATGATATATCGATGGAAAGCGAAGATTTTTAGAAAAAAAAAATCTAATATAGAAGGTCATAGATGGATAGTGACGAAAAATTATAAATAATAAATTGTAATAACTAATATTATTTAACGGAAATCATATGTTTTCGAGGAAATTAAATGAAATTTACCAAATAAATATAAACTTTAAAATGTTTTAAAAAAGTATTTAAAATCTATCTAATCAAGGCAATGACGTTGTTTAAAGACCTATTTCATTGTACTTGTGTAAAAGGAGAAGTGAAATATAAAAATATTTCATGGATTTATAAAGCATATGTTTATAATCTTAAATACATTTACTGAAGTTTAATAATTCTAGATCTAATATTATATTTAAATAATTACGTATCAATGTCCATTTATTCCGAAAAATCATCAAGTAATCTTTTAGAAAATTAAATTAGTGAATAATTAGATGAATTTTTCCTTTGTGAAATCCCAATATTATCCACTTACAATTAGTGTCACAAATTTTGATCCTATCTCTTAATTTTATTTTAGTAAAGTTTTAGAATGGAAAATTGTATTTTATTGTCTATAGTTGATATAATTAGTAGGGTTTTTGTTATAATTAATGATTTGTTCGCTATAACCTTCAAGCTGTAGCTTCGTTAAAAATGTACTTCAAAAACTTCATAGTAGCCCAACATTTCCAGAAAAAAATTATATTCAAGTGAAAGTTGTGTGTTGCGCGCACCATATAGTGTAAGATATCTGAATAGGATAAAAAAAGGGACAAAACAATTATAAAAGTAGTTTTTCTTCGAACGAAAATTAAACTCTAAACTTGTAGATATATTTTTAGTTGATCACTGGTTATAATTCATTGTGGTAATAATTCAAGAATGTACACAATTGAATCAAACTTTAAATGAAGACCCCAGGAGAGAGTTTTTTTTATCCCAAATCATCTAACAAATTTTTTTTATGGAAAATGGCGAACAAGTTCCATTTTAGTGCAAAATCAAAAAAGATTGTATAGAATTTTGTATTTTATATTTATTACTCAAGATATGGATAGATCTTTGGGATCTCAGTTTTCCATTTAAAAAAAAAAAAGAAGAAAAATACTTCGACATTTGCTTGTTCTTCCGGTAGAAAGTTAGTTTTTATCATTATAACTGGTAGGACTAATCAAACATGGTGTAACAAACCACTAATTAGAAATATTTAGAGATGGGTAAACATTTGACTGCTGGATTTATAAGGTATTAAATAATCTGGAGGCGCAGTAAAATAATTACCCAAACGTTTCGACATAAACTTGTGGGTCATTATCAGGCCTATACTTTTATGTTTATCATTTTTCTTATATAATTTTTATATATTTTTTTTAGAAATATATGGAATATTCTAACTTTTCTTAGTTAATTATTACTTTATTTTATTGTTATTGTACAGAAGAAATATTGTTAATTGAGATTAGTTTAGTTTGATATTCGAATTTAAATTAAGAAAAACAAAAATTGATATTGAAACTAAACGTTTTAACTTTAATAATTGTGAGGAAGAAGAATGGGTGTGCCTGTTAGAGTTCTCCTGGAACAATCAAACACTAAAATTTAAAACCCTAAAATGTACCCTTTTCGAGATAAAGAAATAATTCTTACCGAAAGCCTCTTAGTCTTGACCGAATTTCCAGGGCAAGTAAATGGAGAAGAATAGCTGTGTGATCCCTTGGCCACTTCGGATAATATAGAAACTAACTTTATATATTTTTAATAAATAAATAAAAACATATAAAGTTATTAATAGTCTTTGTGGTCTCAGTAAATGAAACTTCTAATAACTAAGGCTCCTCTGCACTATAGGTGGGAGAGAAAACGCTAAACGTTTGAAAAGAACAGTTCTTGATCTCAAACGAATCAACTATTCTTCCAAACGGATTACAATAGTCGTTTTTTTTTTAGTTCACCCGTTTGCCACTAGTCGA